GTCTCCTGGATTCAGGCAATTCTCCTGCCTCAGCCTCCTGAGTAGCTGGGATTACAGGCACGCACCACCATGCCCAGCTAATTTTTTGTATTTTTGGTAGAGACGGGGTTTCACCATGTTGACCAGGATGGTCTCGATCTCTTGACCTTGTGATCCACCCGCCTCGGCCTCCCAAAGTGCTGGGATTACAGGCGTGAGCCACCGCATCTGGCCTTGTTTCTTTTTTTATTTCCTGATTTCCTCTCTAGAATGCCAGCACTTGGGAAGGTTGGCTGAGTTCTATTTTTGTAAATCCCAATTTCCTATTCACTGGAACAAATCTTAGCGGAGCAGGCATTCAAATAATTAAGTAAACAAATAAGAGTCAAGGGTGTTTTAAGTTCTGCAAAATTCCCTGTTATTAAGGAGCTCATCCCCTTTGAATATATCACTGTCTTTCCATCCTCACTAGTGCTACAGGGCTACTCCAGGGACTGATTCTAAAATTTACATGGAAAATTTGAGACCTATTTTATCCTTTCAGACAGGATTTGGAAGGGAGTTTCTACCCTTGACCGTGTTAGAAGTTTTCCTGAATTCGAGCTGGGCATGGTGGCTCACACCTGTAATTCTAGCACTTTGGGAGGCTGAGGTGGGTGGATCACCTGAGGTCAGGAGTTCAAGACCAGCCTGGCCATCATGGTGAAACCCCATCTTTAAAAAAAAAAAAAAAAGTTTTCCTGAATTTTATTCCTATAGAAGACATAGATGGAGCCAGGTCCAATGGCTTGCTTCTGTAATCCCAGCACTTTGGCAGGCCAAGGCTGGAGGATTTCTTGAGCCTAGGAGTTGAAGGCTACAGTGAGCTATAATGGCACTGCTGCACTCTAGTCTGGGCAACAGAGTGAGACCCTAAAACAAAACAAAACAAAACAAAAAAGACATAGATGGGTCCTTCTATCATTTTGCCTTAAGGCTATCTGCAATGTTTCCAGACAGAGTTCTTTCTCTTTTCCAAGACTTCTCCAAACCAACTTGGTGGGGGTGGAGGTTGGGGGAGAGGACAGAGTTGGGGGGGTACTATAAGATGGGCCAAGAGCAGAGTCCCACTTCCACTTCAGACAGTTTGGGTCCACACTGAGTGTGGGGAGGGTCTGTCTCATGAACAGAGACTAGATCTATCTCACCCACCAAATCATACCCACCCCACAAATAAGCCCCATCATGGAGAAGAATGTTAGGCAGAGGAATGAATAAATGAGTTAATAGAGTGCCTGAAAGATGGAAAAAAATGAGTAACAGAATGAATGACAAAGGGATGCTGAGGCAAGAGAGAAGCACAATTTTTAATGCAATCTATATTTTAAGTTTCCTTGCTAAAAACTATGGGCTCCCAACTGCCCCAAATCCATACTCGAAAGAAGATACAGGATCCTCTGTGGTTTAGGCTCCGCCAAGTTCTTCACTGTCATCCATTGCTGTCTACTGGAAGAGGTTGGACCGAGATGGGTGAGTGAAGGGCTTAACCTCCCATCATCCCAACTCCCAGCAGGACGCCTCCTGATGCACTCCAGGTCTTACAGGAAGCCGCCCACGCACAGAGCACCTCCTTCACCTCCCGAGTTTGAGTTATGTTACCAACTTTTTTCTCTCTGTGCCTTGTTTATTTACTCATTTATCCCAATTCACATTCTTGAACATTTTATCCATTTTCTGTTTGCTTGACATCCCTTTGTTTTCTTCCACTCTTTCAGGTCAGGGGTCAGTGAATCACAGTTTTATTCCCAGCGTCCTACCCAGCATCAGGCATAGAGTAGGTTCTCAATAAAGAAATATTAATTGGGTTATTGGAGGGAGTGGCATTAGGGTAGGATAGGGTGGGGACTTGATTACATTACAAAAATTGCTTAAATAGTCAGGCCTTTTAGCCCAGCAGTCACAGAGTCAGCTCAGGAGTTCTGTGGCACACAGCTGATCAAACCACTGCGTCTCCAGAGGACATGATGCCAGGTAAGCTGGGCAAAGGCAGGAGGCTGGGGGTTGAGTGACTAGGTTGCAGATACATCAAGTGAGAGATGTGGGATCTTGTGGTGGCTTCTGGGCTTTGTCAATGCTAGGTCGACAATTTTAGAAACCACTGGGTTGTACCAAGGACCATTTGAAAAACAATTTGCAATGGGACTCCAGTAACTTAGGAGTTTGTTTCTCCACATCCCTTTTTATAAAAAGATGGGGTCTTGCTGTGTTGCTCAGGCTGGCTTCTAGCTCCTAGGCTCTAGTGATCCTCCCACCTCACCCTCAGGAGTAGCTGGGCCTTATTAAGTGTGTGCCACCATGCCCAGCTAATTTTTAAATTTTTTTGTAGAGACGGGATCTCACTTTGTTGCCTAGGCTGTCTTGAACTCACATTCTTTTTAATGCCTAGTACTACTTCTTAAATGTCAGCCCATTTATGGGTATAAAATAGTATGTGATCTTTAATTCCCATTTATTTATTAACCAGTGTGATTGAATCTGTTCACTCTATATTAAAGGCCATTATGTTTTCCCCTCATGCTCATTTTTGTATTTATATCGTTTCCCATTTTTTAGTATTTTTTTCTTGAGGTTTAGTAGAATATTTTTGTTATCTTCTAGATACTAATAATTTATCTCTTATACGTGTTGCAAATACATTCTCCAAGCATGTCTTGTGTTTTTCAATTTACTTATGAGTACTATTGTACAAATATTCTAAGAGTTGCCATTGTGATATTTATCAACATTTTCCTTTGAGAATTCTACTTGTAAAATATAGTTTAGCAGTGTATTTCTGGCCAGGCACAGTGGCTCATGCCTGTAATTCCAGCACTTTGGGAGACCAAGGTGGGCGGAACAATGAGGCCAGGAGTTCAAGACCAGCCTGGACAACATGGTGAAACCCCGTCTCTATTAAAAATACAAAAATTAACTGGGCATGGTGGCACGAGTCTGTGGTCCCAGCTACTTGGGAGGCTGAGACACAAGAATTACTTGAACCTGGGAGGCAGAGGTTGCAGTGATCTGAGATTGCACTGCTGCACTCCAGCCTGGTCAACAGAGCAAGACCCTGTCTCCAAAAAAAAAAGAAAAAAGTGTATTTCTTGGCTAGAGACATCAATGTAATTTTACTTATATTTTAACTTTTTAAAATGATTTTATACTGTGTTTGAAATAGATGCTCAGTGCTGCAAAGAAAAATTAGTACTGGGACAAAGGATCTCTCAGCAAAGCAATTCTTTTTACCTCCTACGGAAAGCGTTCTCCCATAGCAATCTTGTCATGAGAGTACAATGAACAAAGGAAAGCAGACATATTTATTTCTTACACATTGGGGTTGTCTTTACTGCTGTATCGGATCTCCACTGGCTGCAGCCAGACCTCACAATCTAAACTAAAACCTGATTGGCTAATAAAAGCAATGGAGAGCAAAAAGGGGAAGTCCAAATAAGGAAGGGGCATAGGCTGTGAGCAGGGACATGCCTGTGAGCACTTTTAGCACAAATATTTTGTTAAAGAAAGTACGAGGACATAGAATGTACCACATGACTGTAAGCACGGCTAACAGCTACATAGTATAGGGCTTCTGGCAAAAAGGCAAAAAGTCTTTCAATGAAAATGTTTAAAACAAACTATTATTTCTAACACTTATGAATTTTTTTTATCTTAAACAAGAAAGGAGACTTTGAAGTGGAACTTTTTACTTCCCACATTCTAATAGAAAAATTATACATCAACAAGCTCACTTATCAAAACTTGTACCTGGCTCTTCTAATACATTTTTCTATTCTTTAATATTAAACTTACAAAAATACTAATTAGTCGATTTTACATATTGACCTCTCAGCTTGGTAGATGATTTTGCCACTTCCCTCCTCGACTTCACCCCCTATAACTTACCAATGGGCAGTATTGCTTTTCTAAAGACCAGTAGAATTCCAATTACTATTCCTTTGAATGGAAATTCTACTTCCCTTTAGAAGCTTTTGGAACTTGCTGTATATTTTTGGTATTCTGATATTTTTGCAACAATGATCCTTTTGTTCATTTTTTGTGCTCATCGTGGAATAGCTTCAGTCTGGAAACCCCTGTGCCTCATCTCTCAAATCTTGATTATTTATTTATTCATTTATTTATTTGAGACATAGCCTCACTCTGTCGCCCAGGCTGGAGTGCGGTGGCACGATCTCAGCTCACTGCAACCTCCACCTCCCTGGTCCAAGCGATTCTCCTGCCTCAGCTTCCCAAGTAGCTGGGATTACAGGCACCCACCACCACACCCTGCTAAATTTTTTATTTTTGGTAGAGACAGGGTTTTACCATGTTGGCCAGACTGGTTTCAAACTCCTGATCTCAAGTGGTCCACCCTCCCTGGCCTCCCAAAGTGCTAGGACTACAGGTGTGAGCCACTGCACCTGGCCTTATTTCTTAAGAAAGAATATGTTTATTTGCTGTTTTCTCCTCTTTCTTTTACTCTTCGACCTTCCCTTTCTTTTTCTTTCGTTGTCTCTCTCTCTCCCTCTCTCTCTCTTTCTCTCTTTCTTGCTGTCCCCCCTCTATTTCAGGGTTTTTCTTCATTATCCTGTAAATTTTTGCTCTCCCTTTGTGTAATGCTGAGAAGCTAAGAGAAACCTGTGTGCTTGATCACTTGTCTTCACTATGCGATGATTAGGCAGCATTTGCCTTTTGTTTTTCCATGTATTTGTATGAGGAATAAGAGCATCCTAAAAATAGAATCTTTCATATAAAATAGATGACCATGAGAATCAGGTTTTACTAGTTGATGAAGTCTTATTTATATTCTAAACCATAGGAAAAACTCCCATTCTGTACTAATGCCATTTGCATATTCATCCCCTCAAAATCTCGTGTTGAAATATGATCCCCAAGGTTGGAGGTGGGGCCTGTTGGGAGGGGTTTGGATCATGGGAGTGGGTCCCTCTGAATGGCTTAGTGCCATCTTCATGGTAATGAGTGATGGTAGTTCACACAAGATCTGGTGGTTTAAAAGAGTCTGGGACCTCCCCCTGCTCTCTCTTGCTCCTACTCTCACTATGTGACACTTTGCTCCCCTTCACCTTCTGTCCTGAATGGAAACTTCCTAAGGCCCTCACCAGAAGCAGATGCCAGCACTATGCTTCATGTATAGCCTGCAGAACTGTGAGCCAATTAATTCCTCTTTTCTCATTTACCCAGCTTTAGATATTTCTTTATAAATGCATAAATGGACTAACACATTGCACCAAGCCTGTAATTAACAGACTTGCTTCTTTGGTTACTCACATCTTCCCTAAAGGAATGAACTTTCTGGGACCATTTTACTGATAAAGATATGGAAGCAAACAATACAAGTGTAGTGATGCTCCCAAAGTCACCAAGCTACTAGTAAATGAGAGCATCAACGTTCATTCTCAGGTCACTAAGCTTTATCTTTGCTTCCCTACTGACCCTTAATAATTGGCCAAACCAATAGCTTCAGGGTCTCACAGGCCAGCAAACGTAAACAGCAGTGCCACTGAGTCTATGACTGGTTAGGATGATAGGGTCTCAAATACCCTGTGAACCTTATAAACTCATATATACCCGGTGTCAATATCATGCCACTGTTCTATCTCAATAAGGACTGATCTGGTTTGGCTATGTCCCCACCCAAATCTCATCCTGAATTGTAGTGTCCATAATTCCCATGTATTGTGGGAGGGGCCCTGTGTGAGATAAGTAAATCATAGGGGCAGTTCCCCCATGACATTCTCATGGTAGTGAGTAAGTCTCATGAGATCTGATGGCTTTATGAGAGGTTTCCCCTTTTGCTTAGCTCTCATTCCCTCTCTTGCCTCATCACCATGTAAGATGTGGCTTTGCTCCTCCTTGCCTTCCACCATGATTGTGAGGCCTCCCCAACCATGTGGAACTGTGAGTCCATTAAACCTCTTTCCTTTGTAAATTACCCAGTTTCAGGTGTGTCTTTATTAGTAGCATGAGAACCAGAAAGATGTCCCCAGGTTGCTAGGAAAACAAATTGGTACCCAAAGTCATGGAGTGGTAAATATTCCTCCCCCAGGGGCTGTAGAATGAGGCTACAGAAATAAGACTTTCCCATTTGTGCCTTAAAAATGTGTCCTGCTTGGTGGAAGTTGGCACTGATTTTCTGGGAATGCAGAACACTCCCAGAAGGAGGGCGAGAAGTGGGTCTCATGCACTGAATGTTTAGCCTAAGCTCTTGATTCGCAGGCCAAGCTCAGGAAAGAAGCTTACCTTTGGGGAGATATCTATAGATATATAGATATATAGCGTGTGTGTGTGGTTTGCATTCCAATAAAACATTAAATTTTTTTTTATTTCCATAGGTTATTGGGGAACAGGTGGTGTTTGGTTACATGAATAAGTTCTTTAATAGTGATTTGTGAGATTTTGGTGCACCCATCACCCGAACAGTGTACACTGCACCATATTTGTAGTCTTTTATCCCTCATCCCCTTCCCACTCTTTCCCCGAGTCCCCAGAGTCCATTGTGTCATTCTTATGCTTTTGCATCCTCATAGCTTAGCTCCTCCTTGTAAGTGAGAACATATGATATTTGGTTTTCCATTCCTGAGTTACTTCACTTAGAATAATACTTGCCAATCTCATCCAGATTTCTACAAATATCATTAATTCATTCCTTTTTATGGCTGAGTAGCATTTCATCATATACACACACACACACACACACACACACACACACACACACACCCCGGAGTTTCTTTATGCACTCATTGATGAACATTTGGGTTGGTTCCACATTTTTGCAATTGCAAATTGTGCTGCTATAAACATACATGTGCCATTATCTTTTTCATATAATGACTTCTTTTCCTCTGTGTAGATACCTAGTAATGGGATTGCTGGATCAAATGGTAGTTCTCCTTTCAGTTCTTGAAGGAATCTCCACACTGTTTTCCATAGTGATTGTACTAGTCTACATTCCCACCAGTGGTGTAAAGTGTTCCCTGTTCACTGCATCCATGACAACATCTATTATTTTTTTTATTTTTTGATTATAGCCATTCGTGTGGTTTTG